TTTCCAATTACCCACCTTGTGCCAGGCCCTGTATTAGATCCTTTACATACATATTTTTAAACCTTACCAGGACCCTGCAAGATCAATGTTATCTTCACCTCGAGACGAAGGATAGATGATGCTTAAAGAAATATGAATGACAGAGCACATAAGCAGTAGGATCAGAACCTAAAATCAGATACAGATATGTTTGATTCTGAATCCTGATGCTTGTAAAAATTCTAAATTCTCGTTAAATTTAAAACCAATTGAATACAGGAATATAGCAACTTGAAGAAGATCGACCATGATAAAATCTAACACTACAATTGCCTTGATTCGGTGCCTGTGAGCCGAGCTGCCCTCACCCAGGGGGGAAATGGAATTTTTCTAAATGGCCAGGATAAGCGCTGTGATGTGTCAAGTGGTGTGATTTCTGTTAATAATGGAATAACTATTGCACCCTACACCCTGTTCAGAGGAGTGTATTTTCCGCACAGCTCAGAGTAGCCATGCCTAAGACTGGATCATTTATCTTCACAGGCTAAAAAAATTGCTCCTCAGGAGGGAGGGAGGCTCAGCACTCAGGGCAGCACGGCCCAATCCATTTCAATCTCCTCCCTAACAACATTACCAGGCAGCTTTGTGTAAAAAGTGAATCTCAGAGGTAATTGATCTCCTAAATAAAAGTCATCCGAGACCTGTGTACAGCCCTGGGGGAGACGGGTAAAGAAACAATGAGGACATCACCTGCCATCTGTATTCAGCGAGGGACAGGAAGGCTGAAGCTGGGGGAGAGAGCCAGCCGCTTCCAAAAACACCGCGGGGTGAGGGCAAATGAGCACGTGAACCCAGGTGCCAGGGCTCCCACTTCAGAGACCTGAGGCAGAGAGCACGGATTTGGGTGCCACGAAGGCCATGATTCAAGTCCCATCTCTTCTCCTCATTAACATGCTACAGAGGGTGAGTTAGTTACCACGTCCAGAGAGCAATGCCAACTTCGACAGGTGCTCTAGAGCTGAAGTGGGACACTGAACACAAGGAACCTATGACATTCCCCTAGAATGGGGTGGGCCCTGAATAAGAAGGATTTCCCTGCCGCCTTTCACCATTAAAAAATTACCAATGGGGAAAACTGCATAAATTATCAATGTTAATGAAAGGGGCAGGTACACAACTCTCCCAGGAACCAATGACTCCACACCCATTGAGCACGTTCAGGTGATTATGGGCCACCTGTATACCTTCCTTTGTGAAATGTTGCTCGTATCTTCTGCCCATTTTTTGTGTTTGTCTCTTTAGTATTTAATTTTAAAACTTCATTATGTGTGTATCAGATACAAGGCCTTGGTTGCATAAATGTATTGCAAACATTTTCTCCCAGTGTGTAGCATGCCTTTGGATGAGCTATAGTTTTTAATTTTGACAAAATCTATCGTATCAGCTTTTTATTGTATGGTTAGTAGTTGCTGACCCCATCTGAGAAATCTTTGCCCCAAAGTTATGAAGATGCTCTACTGCCTCTTCTTCAGGTTTATAGCTGGAGTTGTTTTGGTCTGGAATGAGCTGGAGTCCACCTCAAGTAAATTTTTTTATATGACATGATGCATGGGTCAAAGTACCTCCCAAATATATCCAGTTCTTCCTGAACCATTTGTTCAAAAGACTTTTCATTCCACATGAAATTGTTTCCATTCCTTTAAAAAACTTATTGATCATATATGAGTCTATTTTTGGACTGTTATGGTCCATCGATCTCTAACTTTACAACAATGGCATCCTCTTTGATTACTGTAACGTTATATTGTCTTAAAATCACATGGCTTATGTCCTACAAATTCCTCTCTTTCTTTTCAAGTTATTTGCCTATTCATTGGCAACAGTCTGTTCCATTTTCAAGTAACTTTAAAAAAAACCAGCTTGTCAATTTCCACACACACACCCCCAACAACAAAACCCTTTTGGGATTTTGACTGGGACATGTTTCCCATACTTTTACTGATTTTCTGCTTCTTCTATCAAATACTGAGAGACAAATGTTGAAATAGCTGACCATAAGTTCTCCCTTCATTTTGTTTTCATTTTTCCCTTCAGAGGTCAGTTTTATTTTGAAGCTCTGCTTTTGAAGTTCACTTACATTAGGATGGTCGGCACCCTTGTGACGTTACCTTCCCTCAGTGCACGTTACCCTCTCCACCCTTTTCTCCAAGGCAGCCTGTTGGATATTCATACACCCGTGCCAATTTTCTGATGATTGGTGCTTGCGTAGTATATATTTTTCCCCCATCTTTTGGCTTTTAAACTGCATATTTCATGTTTCTTGCAGAAAACCTATAGTTGGGTCCTGCTTTTTTATATGGTCTAACAATTTCTACTTTTAAACGTACCATGTAATCCACTGACATGTAGTGGACGTGGGGGTACAGTGTGATAAGTTCGCCACATTGCTCTGTTTCCTATTCGTTCCAGGTTCTTCTATCCTCCGCTCTTGCCACCAGTTCCCCACTTTCGAATTCAGTATTTCTTAGTATTCCATTTTATTTCTTCTGGCTTGTTATCCGGACCTTACGTGTTGCTTGAGGGTTTACAACAGGCATCTTTAACTTACCACATTCTCACCACAACTAATAGGACATTTTGCATAAGAACTTCCATTTCCCCACTCTCATTTTCTCTTCCATTTATTCATGCTCTTTTTTTGTCACATATTTTACTTCTGTATATGATCTGCATTACAGAATAAATGAATCATTTCTCCTTTAAACAGTCAATAGTCTAGTAAAGAAATTAAGAAGTGAGGGGGAGGGATCTTTGACATTTATTCATTGATTTATGATTTCTGGACTCATCACTCCTTAACACAGACCCAGGTTTCCACCTGGTGTTATTTCTGCCTGATGAGCTTCCACCAGGTTGATGAAACCCAAGGACTGTGCTCTCGCCCTCTCAGCCCTGTGAGTGCTCCATCAAGCACTGGAATGACAGAAGTCCAGCTAGTGCTTTATGAGAAGTTCGAGGAAGTACAGAGGAACCCACGGACAGACAACCTGCTCTGCCTGGTCATGCTTAGGAAAATTTTACAAAAATGGTAACACAGATCATCACTGGTAAACAGAAATTTGCCGAAGTGAAGGGATGATAGTTTAAGAAAAATGACAGTTACAGCTGTCTACAAAGGCACAGTGGGGTTAACTGTCCTGACGTAGCCAGTGCTGCTGAGAAGCAAGTGTCCCACAGGAGGGGGGGAGCCAGGCCAGACGAGCTGCACGGCACAGGAAGGCTGGGCAGACAAGCCCCCGCACGCAGTCGGCTGGGCGCTCTGCGGCCAGGGCTCTGGGGCAGGCTCTGTGCCAACGGGACGACGCAGAGCAAGAACGGGGGCAGCGGCCGCACAGGTGGCAGCTTCTGGAAGGCAGTGGGTGCGCTGGGCCATCGGTAGACTGTCGAAGGACCCAGGATCAACCAGACATGACAGGAATGGACAGGGCGAAAGAAAAGGAACCACACCTCCACCCTAAGGGCAGGGAGGAGACACGTATGTGCCCAAAAAAAGGGGTGAGACCTACAGGTTGGGTGATTGGGAGCCAAACAGCCGGCTGGCAAATCAGCTCTTCCAAGTGCCGTCTGCACCCCACACGAGGCAACACTTTTCTCACCTGAAATTGTCAGTTAGAGCTGCAGGGCCCACAGTGTGGAAGCAAGATATCAAGAAGGGGAAGCAGCCAGCTCGGTGACAGCCTGTGCTGCTTCCGAGAACTATTCCCATGAGCGGGGGCAGCGGGTGATGAGGGCATGGAAGGAAAGAGCCCAGCTTGAGGATGGAGAGGACCCAGCACGCAGGAAGGACCTGAGACGCTCAGAGCCCCAGGAGCAGTCCTGGCTAAAGCTTCCCCAGGGCAAGGGCTTCTTCACACACGTTCAAAACAGAGGCCAGCCTTGGCCAGGACTAAGAAGTGACGGTGATGAAACGTGGTGCTAACAGCCCAAGCTGAGCCAGTCGCTCTTGCTCAAGCCATTCTCCAATTTTGGGGAAGACAAATAATCTTTCCTATCAACCAAAACTACACTCATTAGTTGGGGCCATATCACTTTAAAGGGAGTTTTATGTCAACATTAACACGGCTCTGACACCCCTGTACTTTACTCTGGGGAGGAGAGAGCCGACTGAGTATGCTGCCTCTCCCGGTTGCCTTAACCCCTGACAGTGAATAATTTCCCCCACTCCGCCCCGCCCGGAAGGAAAGGTGCCCTGGACATGGATGTATCCAGAGCTCAGGGGTGACCAGGACCTGTTTTCCAAAGGCTGCTGGGCCAGGAGTCTGAGCGGCAGAGGGTCCCCGCTGGCTGGAGCTCCACCCAGTGCTCTCAGCCCCTGTGACCCCCAGGTCACCGTGGGTCAAAGTTTTGGATGAGAAACTCATCCTCCCCCTTAGAGAACACCTCTCGTATCTCTGGCCACTGTGGGTCTGCATGGACACATGGTCCGACTGCCTTCTTCCTGAAGGAAGACGAAGTCTGGGAAGTCAACAGGAGAGAAGGCCTCCGGGCAAGATGGGCTCCCTGGGCAGATACAGCCCGATGCTCGGATGGCGGGGAGCTCCGTGAAGTGGGGGTCCAGCTGAGATGCTGAATGGCTGGCCTGAGCACACGTCTTCCTGGGATGCCAGAGTGATGTAAAGAAAGATGCTGGACTCATCCAGGAGCCCCCAGAGTAGATCAGAACCAGGACCAGGCTCAGCGCAATTAGGAGAGCCATGTCCTGCACAGTGCGGACCACACACAGGCACGTGGTGATGTCAACGTGATTGTTACAGAATGTTAAACGGGAGAACACCCACTCACTCACAACTACCTGAAGCACTGCCTGCTTCTCTGAGGAGGACCTGAGATGCAGGGAGTCTGAGCAGCTTGGCAGGACAGCGCGGACCTGAAAGGAGGCGGGACCACGGCGACCACCGAGGTCAGAACTGCACACGCAGCTGGGCTCTGAAACGAGGCGACCGCAGAGCAGACCCCGTTACCTGGTCGCTGGCAGAGTGCTGACTCGGGTGAAGAACACCGACGGCTCGACCTCCACGTGCAGCCCCAGGGACAGTTTCCTGTAATAGCCTTCAATGTGGCCCGGGCCTCCGGAGTATTTAAAATTCAGGATGGCTTCCAGGGTCTAGGAAGATGTAAAAATGGCATTAGTGCTCCCTCACCCTTCTACCACCCCTTCCAGAACTTTTCCTCCTATGTGGCAAAACCCTAAGCTTCTGGGGAGGGGCAGCAAGTACCAAGGGCACAAGGGCAGGGTAAATATCAATGCTGGTTGGGGCAGGGCAGAAGTGCTGGGAGGGTCAGGAGCTAGTCCCCAGCCAGGATCCTCTACCAAAGCCACCAGAGGTCTCCTCCGCCAGGCACATCATCACACCACTCTCAGCCTCAGTTTCTCGACTGCTAAATGGAAACAATAATGAATGCCTATCTCCTAGATGCTGCGGAGGTTCGATGAGAAATATGGAAGTGTCAGAGTAGGCCCGCGTTCAAGAAATTCCCATCTCCCTCTGCAGCCTCACCGCCTGATACCCGGAGGCAATATGGCTGAGCGTGGAAGGAAATGTGGAATGGATTTCTGCACCATTTCTTTTCTTTTTTACATTTTTTTTCATGGTAAAATATACATACCATAAAACTCACCCTTTTTACCATTTTAAAATGTGTAGTTCTGTTTCATTAAGCACATTCACACTACAGGGAGACCATAACCACTGCTCTTCTCCAGAATGTTCTCATCTTCCCGAACTGAAAATCTGTAAGTATTAAACACTGGCTCCCTATTTCCCCTCGGCACCACTGTCCTCTTTCTGTCTCTGAGTCTGAGGATTCTAGGAATCTCACATAAATGTGATTACACAGTTTTTGTCCTTCTGTGTTCAGCTTATTTCACTTAGCATAAAGTCCTCAAGGTTCACCCATGTTGCAGAATGTTATCAGAACTTACCTCCTTTTTAAGGCTGGAAACTATTCCCTTGTACACAGAGACCACATTTTGTCTGTCCATCCATCCGTCCATGGACAGGTGGGTTGCATCCACCTTTTGGTGGGACACCTTGTGCACAGGGATGTACAGATACCTATTCTGAGGCCTTCCTTTCAGTTCTTTGGGGTATACACTTATTTATATATATCTAATTTTATTAGGAATCCAGGCATTTTCCACAGTGGCTGAACCATTTTATATTCCTGTCCGCAGAGCACAAGGGCTCACATTTCTCCACATCCTTGTCAACATTTGTTAATTTCTGTTTGGGGGGCTGTCCTTTTTTTAATAACAGCCCTCCTAATGGGCATAAAGTAGAATCTCATTTTTATTTTGATTTGCATTTTCCTAATGAGGAGTGAAATTAGGCATCGTTTCACTTGCTCACTGGCCATCTATTCCTGGCCTTGGGGAAATGTCATTTAAAGCCCTTCAGCCCCACTTGTAACAGCTCCCCTCGCACGCCTCAGGGTGCCTTCCCACCTGGAAGTGCACAGGCGCCCTTCAACTCTTCTACCACCAGGACATCGCCACTAATTCTCTCCTCCTACATAAGTGGTGTTCCTCCCTCGTGTCCCAGAAAAGGCCACGCCTTCTCCCAAAAGACTTCTGTTCCTCCTCCCTGTAAAAGGGCTCAGCTTTTTAAATATGCAAGTGTCATCTTTCGGACTCACCCAAATCTCAAATCCTTTTCCCAAAGCACACAGCATTGTCCTATCATCTCAAAAAGATTGCCAGTTTCCTGTAACCCCCTCGTACGCACGTCCCAGGAGCCTCTCTGAATCCAGGTGACTTTCATTTGTTTGGGCTACTCTTTCCCTCACCTGCAAACACTTCCTGGGTACTTCCCGAGGGCAGGCTCTGCACTTGGAACAAGATGCATAAGGTGTGGTCCCTGGTCTCAGGACACTCTGAGGGAATGAATGTCAAGTAAGTTAACTAATAAACAAATGAAGCCAACCCCTCACCCAACACACAGAGAGCAGCTTCCTCAAATTGCAGGTATGCTGGTCAAGTAAGCAGATACTTGATAATGGCCTTGCAAACCAAAACCTGCTGAGTAACAAAAAATGTCACATTGTCTTTGGTTGGTTGGTTGGTTTTTTAGGGTAAACTTAAAAGTCATCTCCAGGGAGTGATGTAGTAGAAATCTCCAGAGAACTGAGCAAAAAATACACAGAAATAGATAACTGCCAAGGACCATATGACAAATAAGAAATAGTCTGTTTCTACTTTCTTGGAATTGGATGTTTCTTTGCTCTGTAAAGAATCAAGGAAAAGATATAATTATAGAGAAAATATCTAATTTATGAAAATCAACCACAGAAAAGGTTTTGTGAAATTACTGAGTATTACTGCCATTCTTCGTTGATTTAAAAAAAGCCTACTCTGCTGCATAAAATTAGAATATTTTAATAAAACCATAGAGTGAATTGGTCAGGCAAAGTTGTAACAGGAAGCAACGCACTCCTCTGCCAACACACCTCTTCTTGGAGGGTGCCACAGGCCTCACTTTGAGAAAAGTCTATTACAAGCATCAGTAATGGGCAAGGTGCTAGAGAAAAACACTATTTTCTAGGCATACGACGGATTACTCCTGCTCAATTAAGAGGTCTTTTCAATGGCTGCCTTCTATTGAGCACCAACTAGTGCCAAGTGCTCTCCTAGGTGATCTACACACATTGACTCCAACGTCCTTAAGAGCCCTGCAAGGAAAGTCCTGTTTTCATAAACAAGGCTCAGAGCAGTCAGGTGACTGGCGCAGGCCACAGACCCAGGAAGTGGCACATCCACGATAAGAATACAGAGCTATATGGCCATACAGCCTGCTCTCTTGCCACTTAAGCAAGTTATTCAGAATAGCATTCATTCACCTATCTAATCATTCACTCACCCTCATCCAGGGTTCTAGATGAATGTCTTCCATGTGATAAGGGACTATGGCAGAAGACACAGTACCACCCTTAAGGGGATCAAGTCTACTCAAAGACACAAGCCCAGAGGCATCTAAGATAAACTGTGATCTATGACAGAAGAGTGTCATAGGCTACATAGGGATTCAGGAGCAGGAAGGATGGTGTGTGCCTACTGGGCAGGAGCTGGATAGGAAGGGACAGCAACCTGGCCAGGAAGACAGGATCAGGCTCTGAGTAAATAGAAAGTGGACACATAATAGAGAAATATCATTAAATTGAAACCTAGTTCTTGAAAAATACCAATAAAAGTGACAGTACTCTGACTTAGGTTAATAAAGGGGGAAAAGAGAGAAACTCATCACCAATATCAAGAATGAAAATGAGTATCCGTACAGATCCTATACACATTAAAAGGGTCATAAAGAAATAATGTTTGGAAAATTTATATGGAACCAAAAAAGACCCCGAATAGCTGCAGCCATTTTGAGAAAAAAGAACAGAATGGGAGGGATCACATTACCAGACTTCACACTGTATTGCAAAGCCATTGTAAGCAAAACGGCCTGGTATTGGTACAACAACAGGCATATAGATCAATGGAACAGAACAGAGACCCCAGAAATAGACCCACGCCATTATGGTCAGTTAATATTTGACAAAGGAGGCAAGAGCATCCAATGGAGTAAAGACAGTCTCTTCAATAAGTGGTGCTGGGAAAATTGGGCAGATACATGAAAAAGAATGAAACTAGACCACCAACTTTTACCATACACACAAATAAACTCTCATTCGTGACTTGAATGTAAGTCACGAAACCATAAAAATCCTGGAAGAAAACATAGGCAGTAAAGTCACAGACACCCCATGTAGTGGAATTTTCACTGATACATCTCCTAGGGCAAGAGAAACAAAGGAAAAAATAAACATATGAAACTACATAAAACTAAAAAGCTTCTACACAGCAAAAGAAAACAGCCTCAAAATACAAAGGAACCCCACGGTCTGGGAAAACATATTTGCCAAGGATGCATCTGATAAGGGGCTAATTTCCGAAGTGTACAAAGAACTCATAGCACTCAGCAAGAGGAAGACAAACAACCCAATTAAGAAATGGGCAAAGGAC